TGTAACTAGAACTGGTCCAGAAAAGATGTCCTAGGGTTGACCATATATGGCCACTTATCTTAAGAAAGATGACAACTGAAGTTGATTAAGTTCTTATGGGAGAAAACTTAGCTTAGAAACGAGTTTGGCATAAATGTTCATTTATTCCTCAATGATAAGAGTGCAGAATTACCTGGCGGTACGCTAACACTTATTGGTGCTTCGTGTGTCAATGAAGCATCAATGTCAAACGTGACCGGTGTACCAACACGAGCTTCCGATATTGAATCTAATCGTAGCCCATTTACCGTTATACGAGAAGGATCGTATGGATAGTCGACGATAGCACGGAACGGCGATCCTAAAAATGCAATCATTGCATTTATCTTTTTGAAATAAAATTAGAGCTGGAAGCCTGCATGCATATTAAATTGGCCGCAGAGGAGAAAAAGTTGAAATCTCGTTGACTTACTTGTGCCGGAAGAGAAGGGTGAAAAAAACTTTGTCTTACCTGGAACGTGCTCCTTATTTTTCTCATTTCCGTAGCAGATACCGATGCTGTACTCTCCGGGAACAGAAGGGACATATTCAACGGTACATGAGCCGTCTGCATTATCTCTACATTTGTTCTTCGCTTCTGCTGGGCCGACAAGCTGCACAAATAGTTCGCCAGTGCCTGCGTTCTGAATATGGAAATACAAACATTTTGAAAAGAAAAAAAAAACAATGAAAAAGGCCAACAAATTCCAAGGTGCAGAAAAAAGTATTTTAAGTATTCTTTCTTTCTCAAAAAAACTGGTTCACTCATTTACTTATGACATTTACATACCTGTGCATCGATGTCAAATCTCGCTGGTTTTCCGACAATGGCGCTCCTCAATCCTTCACCAGTGGCCTTACATTTCGACGCATCGCAACCTTCTCGGACATTGATCTTAGCTTCTTTCACTAAGGCGCCATCAAACAGTACCTGAGAAGAGATGAACATTTCGCAACATTTACAGACCTTAGGATAATTAAATTTTTTAAGAATCACATATCATCTCAAATATTCTGATAGGTTCAAGTGCACAACCAAAAGCGACTTTACCGAAATTTTGGAAAAAATTCTGGGCTCTCTCCCCCCTAAATTTACCTACAAAATAAAGCTTTACTGCATTAACCACAGGTAG